CTTTTGACATTTTCGCATATGGTTTATTTGAAATTATAACTTGCGGTTCGTAACGAAAATTTGACTCGAAATACCAAGTGCGTGGTATTAAATTATTCGTAAAAAATGCCTTTTCCAAATATGCAAATGAGCCACCCTCGTTCCATTTGAAAAAATTGGGATAAAATTAAAAATACGAATTGAGCATTTTCTAACTGGCCAGGGAAAGACACTAAAAACATTAGACGATCAAATCTATTTTTCCAAGGCTCCTTGAATAAGAATTAGTGTTCTTAACATAGCCATGACACTCTAGATTGAATTTGATTGAAAAAAGTTGACATAAAATATGTCATTCTATTATTCAGAATGTCATTTTCTATCGAATAAAGTAAAAAAAAAAACCGAGGGTGCCATTTAAAAATCAAAAGTTGTAGTCATTTCCGGTGAAAGAGGAAGTGACCAAAAAGAATTAAATAAGTCAGTCAATCCTAACTTATGTCATATACTAACATACCAAATTTCGTTTTGTTATCAGAAAATAATAAAAAGTTATTGGGGTTAGACACTTTTTGAGGCGCACCCGGTATTGTGTTATTATTGTTTATTTTGCTGCTGTAACACTAAAGGTTCCAACCTTAACTTAATCATTTATCATATGCGTTATTGTTAAGTAATTTAACGAGACTTTAAAATGACATTTTTTAAATTCATATCTAAAATGAAACGAAAATTTACTTATAGCTTCATTAATTAAAACACACTTTTGCATTTCTAAATATGCAGAGAAGTGCAGTAAATATAAATCATAATTTCTAGTCACTGCAATTGCTTTTGAAAAAAAAACATGCAAAAAGCATATAATTTACAGCATAGCTACAAGATTCTAATTAGCGTTTTATTTAACTCGACTATTTAATTTCGATAAGACATTTTGCGTCCCCGCTGCTGCCACCTTACCTATTTCATTCTTATAAATGTTACAGCTATTTAAATATGAGTCTTGAATATTACTCAACGGCCCTAGGAGCGTTATAAATTCTGTTTAAGAAAATATACTTTTAAAATACGGCCCTATTCTATGAAGCCGCTTTATTAAAAGAATGTAAATCATACCCTATTAAATTATACGAGATATTATGAACTGAAGAACAGTTATGTAATATGTTTCTTTTAAACTTATAATATTAAAATATTTTTAATTAACTTAAATTAGACATAAAAAATGTTTTACTATCGCAATTTTGCTACGAAATTGAATATAAAAAATCTTTTGTTCTATTTTACCTGTATATTTAAAAACGTGATTTTAAATTTTTATTTTTTTATTTAAATTTAAAATATTTTTTGGTTTTGATGAAAACTAGCAATAATTGGCAATCCATCAATTCGAATTATTGTTCGATTAGCCTCTTGTCTATTTTTGGACGAACGTTTCGACAGAATCGTGACGCAAGCACCTAAATCACATTTTAAATCAATTACGAGTTTTGATATTTAAATGTGAATTGAATGGTAATTAAATATTGAGAGGAATCCAATACATGGATTTATTATTAATAAAGACTTGTATTGGATTTCTATCAATAAACAAATACAAATATTAATTTGCTTTGTTAATTTTAGTCAATTCATATAATTAGAAAATAAACTCTATTTTACTCTCGATTTAGGAATTCTGAAATAAAAAATTAGTCTAATAAATAAATTAGTCTATATACAGAGTGGTCTCTTAGTGTGTGTTTCAAAGAACTTCAGTGTCATCTCTCGTGGGGAGATAACGCGTGTCTCAAAAAACATGGGCCATCTCCCGTGGGGAGATTTCCCACGTAAAAATAATATTTATTTTTTATATCAACATGCGTACGATTCTTCCCTTTTTCGTAGTTACAGGGTGTTTTCATTTTTTTTCGATTTATTTGAATTTTCTTCCAAATGCTTTTAAGTGGGCAATTAAATTATTGTATTTTTTTGTTTGGAATTTTAATTCAGCACCCAAGTCTGGGGTACAGAAAAACGGGGTTAAAATTTTAAAAAACTTAAAACATTATCGTTATTTTTATTGGTACACCCGGTATAAAACAAAATATTTTTAGGACGTGCACCTTTATAAACCATGCACCATTTATATAAAACTTTATTCATATCTCGTCCCATTGCTGCCAAAAGTCACTAACTTACTTTTTATTACTTCCGAGAAAAATGCGTCTAAAGATGAATTGCATTGCATAAAGATGTTATACTTAGTAACTATTCGGTATTAAAATAAAACATAAATAGCCAGAAATCGTAGTTAATGGCTTTTGCAATCGATTCTCCGCTTCAAAACATAGTTAGTGATCGAATTTGGTTGTTCGGAAAAATGTTAGTTAGTGACTTTTAGCAGCAGTAGGACGATCTTTGTCAAGTATCACGATATTGGAGTTTCTCCCACTAATAAGCCAGTGTATTTTTTTTACGGATCAAGAATTTTTTTATTTTTTTAATAGACATATAAAAAATAAACACATATTATAACATATACCGGATGCGTTTCAAAAGTGGCTCACCCCTATAACTTTTTTATTTTTTTCAAATAAAAAAAAACGAGATTTAGTACCTATGTTGGTATATGACATAAATTAGGATTGATTCACAAATTTAATTGGAAAATGGCATCCTCGGTATTTTTTACTTGATTCGATAGAAAATGACAGTCTGAATAGAATGACATATTATGATACATTTTCGAATATGGTTGCGAACATATAACATGCGGTTCATAACGACAATTTGACTCGAAATACCAAGTGTGTGGATCAAATTATTCGTAAAAAAGTGCTTTTTTCAAATATGCTAATAAGCCACCCTCGTTCTATTTGAAAAATTGAGATATAACTAAAAATACGATCTGGGCATCTTTTAACCCGCCAGGACAGGGCGCTAAAACATAAAACGGCTTCTTGATTAAAAATTAGTGTTTTCTACATAGCCATTGCACCCTAGATTAAATTTTAAAACACGATTTTTTTAAGCGAGAATGTCAAAAGTTGATATATGATATGTCATTCTACTCAGAGTGTCATTTTCTATCGAATAAAATAAAAAATGCCGAGGGTGCCTTTTAAAAATCAAAAGTTGTAGTAATTTCCTGTGAAAGAGGATATTTTTTATACTAATGTACCAAAGCTGGCTTTTTATCTGAAAAAATAAAGAAGGGGTGAGCCCCTTTTGAGATGCACCCGGTATAACATAACTTGAAATATTCATAAGTAGCACGTAATATCTTTTTAGTAAGTATAGTTTTTTCATTTTGTAGACTAAATTCTTGTTAGAAAAATTTACTATGCAGCCTACGTAAAGTGCATTAGATATTTCAGTATAATTAAGTTTTCAGTTTTTAATTAAGTTTAAAACAATATCTTGCGGCAGTTTAGCTATAATTTAATAACACCGTTGTAGGTGTTTTACCCATCTTTATTAATGTATTTTTTAGACTTAATAGAACAGAATTACAGATGCCTGAGACATGCGACATTTTATATTTTTAAGTACTCCGAAAAACGTTTGAAGGAATGGGAAATAAATCGTTTTAAGAAATAAAAAATAATAGATATTAATTTTTTGGATTATGTCCTTTATAATTTTTATCTTTTATATGCAGGAAGTAGTCTGGTTTATTTTTTTATTACTAATGGTTTATACCAGTGATTCCCAAAGTGGTCCAGGTGGACCCCCAGGGGTCCACGGGAGACTTGCTGGGGGTCTACGTAGGCGTGAACAAAAAATGGGGGTCCATAAGATGTTAATGGGGGTCCACGAAAATTTATCTGCTTTTGATAGTAAAGAGCAAAAATGTAAGCATAGTTTTTATAAGGGCCAAACAGTGATTATATTATAGTGAACTATAATAAAATATGTATAGTTAATCACTGTTTAGCTTTTAAACAAAGTTTATACAAACGGTGCAAGTGGGCATTAGTTTCGGAGATACAGGGTGTAGAAGTTTCATTTTTATTTTGTTTTTTTCCAAATAATTTGAAGTAACGTCAATATTGAGAAGAAAGTTGGTGTCTTGGAGTTTCTTTGACAGCTGTAATTTTTTATTTAAATGTATCAGGTTTTGTAGGAAATTATTTGTAGGTCACGATTATATAAGTCGTTTTATTTCATATTTTAATTTCTCAGCATAAATGACAAATTAAAAAAGTTTCCATACTTTTGGCCACCACTGTATATAAAACTACTGAGTAAAAAAATATATATTTACGACGTTTTTTACGTAAAAAAGGTCTCTTGGTAAAAAACGCTACGGGTAATGGTCCTCGAGATATTTGGAATCGAAATTATCAATACCTCTCATCATTTATATAAATTAAACAAGTTGACTAAATAGTTATTAGACTGAAATCATAAATTTGAAATGTTTTTGTGTCAAAAGTTCAACAGAAACTGTTTTTATCATTTTTTCGAAGAAAAATTAATTTATGATGAAATTAAAAAATGAAAAATGAAAAATTAATGATTTCATTCAAATAACTATCTACTACTTAATATTTATTTGTTGCCAATTAATGAACATATATTGACTCTTACTTTACGTAAAAAATCACGGAAATGTTTTTTTTTCAGCAGTTTTATACAGGTACGCCAAACACATGCAAGTGGCGCCCCTACAATTAAGAGTCATATTGACATCAAAATCAAATTTCTCATGTCAAAAAACTCCCAGACAATTTTCATCTAAATATTGACGTTACTTCAGAAATGATTTAGAAAAAATCGAAATAGATATGAAATTTATATACTCTGTATCTCCAAAACTAAGCATTTTATGACATATATTTATACAAAGTTTTTTACTTGTTTTTATCTGCAAAATATGCTACCGAAGTTTCCGGAATACAGGTCGGACCACCCTGTATAAAAAAAATAAAATTTATAAGTTTTATAAATGTTTAAGTTTAAAAAAACGGATTATCTATTCAAAATAATATCTATTCTATAAAACAGAAATTTTACCTAAAATTGTTTTGTTTCAGTGGTGATATTCCTGATTGCTGTAGAAGCCAGTGACAAGAAAGGTAAAATAATTAATTAATATATTTATATACAGGATGATATGTACAAGGTTTTTGACATAACATTTTATAAAAAGGAATTTAAATAAAAGGAGTTTAAATTGAAATTACCGGTATAGCTTAATCGTATAGCAAGTTACTCTTTTATTTAAAACAAAACATATATTCCCATTGGAGCCTTCTTTTTTAAAATGGCGCCAGGCTGTATAGTCCACCGAAACATTTGTTATATGTATGTAAACTCCATTTAAAATACGAACTCTTATTTCTGTATTTAAATCGAAATCAGTTATATCATCAGTCTACAAGAATCAGTCAGTTACAAATATCTATCTAATGTCCACAATTCCATGATACATATTTTTATTGTTTTTATTATGATTATTTAGTGTTTAGAGAATTTGGGTCACTTGTACATTTAGAGTTAATATAAATTAAAAGAAGCCGATTGGAAGAACTCAAAAAAATAAAAATATACAAAAAATATATATTATATTTTAATGCAAAGATTGATGGAAATTTGATTTTACATTAAATCTCAATTTATTAATTCCCTGAATATTTCAGATAAAATATACATATTCAAATTTTTCTGTATTTTAAATGGAGCACCCTAATTGAATACATCTTCAAATAAAAGATATTTTACACGAATCGATTGAGTGCATCCACATCTAAAATATCTAAACGAATAAAATAGTTTGTAATAGTTTTTGTAAAATAAAGCAGTTAAATTCAGTTCATGAATATGCATAAACAAGAAAATAGGTCCTTTTAAAAATGTAAATACCTCCGTTTTGCGATATAAAAATAAAATAAAGACTTGAAACTACAATTCTTCACTAACAAGAAAAAGAAACAATAAAAATCTTATACAGCACTTAAAACAAAACGATCGGTTCTACGTTTCACAGAGAATTATCTCTGTAACACTGTACTCTGACCTTTAATTTAAGGAAAAGATCTGTATTTGAGATTAATTTTCAGCCAGCCCACTAGACAATATGATACAATTTCACAATACAGACAATATAGTCTGTCCAACGATAAAATTCATGACAGTGATAGATGTGTCTGTCATTTTAATTTCAAAGTAGTTTATTTTACTCTACAAAGAAATAAGTTGGTAGAATTGGAACGCATAGCAGGAAATCTATATATTTATAATTTGAGTGACAAGTGATTACTTAAATTGTAAAAAAACGTATAAAATTGAAAAAATGTAATCGAGTTATTTTATTTCAAAAAAAATTACGGTATGTTGTGTTAACAAAACAAACAAGGGTGTAGCAAACAAACAAGGGTTGTAAACAAACCACCACATACCAAAAAATATAAAAAAGAACTATTTCTTACTTTCAAGCTTCAAGAAACTTTTAAGAATATTTTATTAATAATAACACTTACTGAATTTTACACCTTAAAGTTGATTAACTAACTTTAATATTAATTTTTTTTAACCAGAGCCACCTTTTGACATTATCTTTCTGCTGTACTAAAATCTCTTATTTATTTATTGTGTGATGTTATTTTACACCTACTCCTGTTTTTAGTACCATATACGAGATGGCTTACAAACTTTACTGATGGTGGTGTATAAAATTTTTACTTTATTGGTGTATAAAACTCTCCGTCTGGGCCCCGAATATTAACTATAAACTGTGCTCTGGGCCTACAGTTCATTTTTCCTCGATTCATCCTCCACTTAACTTCAAAAGACACAAAACACACGTAATAACATGAATCAAAATGCAAAAACAATTCGTAAATGTATTATAATCTTCTAAAAGTTATTTGACACAAATTTATAATCTATAATTTGGCAAGACTTTGATGAAAAGTGAAAGAGAACAGAAAGAAAAAAAATAGGGACATTACATGAAGACAAACTTTAAATTAATAATTACTACCTGATCACAACTGCCTTACAGTCTAAGATCCGGCTGCATGATTATTATGCTCATTGTATTTTTAATCAAAACCATTTTTTTAATGTATATTTATGAATAGGAGAATACGATTTTCATAGGGTGCCTTAAAGTTCAAAAACTTGCCGGATCCAGGGGTTGCCACGGTTTAAAGTTTTTCCTACTTTAAAACAGTGCGTCGGGCAGTGCTAACCTTAAGTATGCGTTCGGATGTATTTTAGGAAATTTTTTAACTTCTACAGGGTGGTCAAAAAAGTGTGAGTGGGTCGAGATAAGTTTTTTAAATGGAATACCCTCCCAAGTAGCATCTATCTGACTTCGAACTAAATCTGACCTGAAGCGACGTCAGACTTTGTGCAAATTTAGGTCGGGTGCTGGTGATACGACCGGTGACGTCACTTTCCTATTAAAAGCGACATCGTTGGACCCGAGTCGGTAAATCCAACGATCTGTCGACGTACAAAATAACAACGTACCATTTTTATTAATTTCCCAACGTCGTTCCCACGTTGGCTTGCACGACGTACATATACTTGAACTAGCCCGACGTCTACCCCTTGTCCGAATAGGATACGTCTCACTGATAATCCCTAAAGTAACGTCCAATTATATTTTGTTGTATTTTATGTTCATATTTATAACCTAATTTTCGTATCTCTATTTACGTCCGTAAATACAACCCATTAAGTAGCATTTGCGGCCTAATGAACATCATGAACATAACCTAATAAAAAGTTTTTGTAAACAAACTTAATTTCTTTTATTGTGCCTAAAAAACACTAAAAAGGCATTTATACATTCATCTAAATTTTACAGAAAGAGGTTGAGGCTTTTGCAAAATAATAATAGTAGTAGTGCTGTCTTGCCTCCACCCACGAATGCTTTTTATCCGGAAGAGATGCTGTATAACACTGGTGCATCTTAATTTCTTTTTTTAGCTTAAGAAACCAACAGACCCCATCCTCCTCCCACATGTGAGGTACTGGTTCCAATTCTTTTACATTTTGTAGATATACTATCTTTAAAAAGTGGCTGTCCATTTTTTTAAGGAGAAAACAAAAACTAAAATATAATTGCACAAATCCACAAATCTCTGATACGCAAAGTGAGGTTACGCCTACGAAACCGTTGAACCGTCAACCGTCAAACATTTCTTGACAACAAACAATTGAGCTATCATAGACCAATAACAGACAACGTCGGGAATCGTTTACCAGGAATACCGTGTGTAGAAAAATTATATGCTCTGTGGTCGACAACGGATGCTCCTACGTATGCCGGCTGATCGCAAATTTTACGTGGCGTACGTTGGAATTAAATACGTCATAATACGATTGCCGGTCGTCCGGTTTGATGACTTCGGTCGTGTGAGACGACTATGTTCGAGACCCGGTCGGAATTGGTATATTGGTAGTTCATATTAAGTCGGACACAGAAATCAGCTATTCTTAACAAGTATTTGATTGTCAGCCATTTTAAAATCGTTTTTTGTTTTAAAATTTATATTCACATTCCGGGAACCACAGTACAGTTTTATGATTAAACCAGCTAGAAAATAAAAAAAAAAATATATTTTGCGAGTTACTTTTTATAGATATTTTTATTTCATAAATCTACCTAACTTTGAAGGCGCTCGTTCTTTTCCGGAGTATTTTAATCAGATATATCAAAAAGTGACTGCCGTTGACAAAACTGATGTCTGGATTAATGATTCAGAATTATTATAATATGAAATTAGGTAGGCACTTATATATATATATTCGAGGAGTGACTATGAATCCATTTGTAATTAGGTAGTTTTGAAACCCAACGTAAAGTAAGTGCTTAGCGACGAATTTTAAGTGACTGAAATCCAACGTAATAAGACGTTGGTAATTGGTAGAATTACATTCCCTATTAGGTCAGATACCGACGTCGAGGCGACCCGAATCTGTATTCCCCATTTAGGTGCAAATAAGGGTCGTCAGGCGGTCGAACCGACGTTGGTACCCGACGTCGGGTTTATTGAACGCGACGTATACCTTACGTTAGATAATGTCCAAATGCTACGTACTTTGGGCTGTATATTATTCCTTTGTTAGAAGGAGAATTAAAAAGTGAACATTTTTTATAATTAAAATATTTCAAAATCTGTATCTTGTGTCAATGGTATTTATCGTTGAAAGAGTAATATGTAATAAAAACATGAATATTTGCGAAGCCGTTAATACTTTAAATTCGAAAAATATTCATCTTGTAATTCTCCATCTAACAAATGAAGAATAATATGGAGGGTGTTCTATGAAAATAAACGAAGAAAAATTATTTTATATTTTAGATAGTTTGGTATAGGATTTTGAACATCCTGTATAGTTTAAGATTACGATATATATATAGCTCTCATAAGGTGCCCGGTGGCGTAGAGGTACAGGCCCTCGTCTACCAATCTCAAGGTGTGCGTTCGATTCCCACACCCGGCATTTCATCAGCCGACTATTTTTATTAAAATAAAAATAGTTTGGGTACCTATGTCGACTCAGCCTTAAATGAGTACTTGGGATTCACAATCCTGAGGTAATAATAGGCGGTTGAAGCGTAGTGCTAGCCACATTACCTTCCTTGTATACCGAACGGCTCTAGTATAGCAAGCTGTACCTTGCTACTCCCAAGGCGTTAAACGCTATATACGGGAGCTATTATTACTCTATAGCTCTCATTAAGTAAGTCCAGACCAACAGTACTAAATATTTAGTATAGTTTTTGACTTCAGAACATTTCTTGTATTTTTAATATTTAAAAAAAAGGTTTCTTTTTTTATTTATTTATTAATATCTCTGAAAATATCGAATCATATTTAATAATATCTTAGGATTATGTAAAGTGATCAGAAAGGAAGGCAAATTGCAATAATATACAGGGCTAATGAGAGGCTAATATACAAGTATTTTTATGTTCCATTTAAAAAAAGTCCTCCCGATCCACTTACACTTTTTTGAGCCACACTATAGAAGTTGAAATATTTTCCTCAAATACATCCATATACTTTATATTGGCACTTATACAAAATTCTTAAGTTTTTTATTATAGGAGCTACAA